ATTACACATTATCATAGACAAACCGTTTCCACGCGATTGTTGTGTAGGACAAATGACTCGCGTGGTGGTATGACGTCGTGTGACCTGCGCGACGCCAATAATATACCGAGAGCAGTCGAAGACGGACCCGAATTGACTGGGCCGGAAAGAAAAGGCGTAAAGCGAGAAAAAAGGGTTGACCAGGTGCGTTTTATTGCCGGAAGTTTTGATTGTTCGCGTCACGTATATCCTGTATGTGTGCCGCCGTCGCCGCCGCCGCCGCCTGACCGGGCGCCTTCTTCTTAATAAAATATATAAGATGTATATTATATTATATTGTCACACGTCGATATTCTCCCTTTCCCTCTGCCGCCCGTAGTACCGAATTTCATCGTGTCCCGTACACCGACCGACCGATAATATACATCACATTTATATACACACACACACGGTTTACCTGATCCAGACGGATTTTACCCATTTTTGGCGCCAGTCTGCGGGCAACGCACACCACACACTATAATAATATGCCTTGTACGGGGGACGAATGCGACACATCATCGCTGCATCTCATATCGAAACGATCCAAGCAGATCAGTCGGTCGTCGGCCGTGCACCGTGATCCAAGCATTAATAGCTGTTATATAGTGTAGCCAGTATAAGAAAAATTCAGTTGCATTTTATCTTTACCCCACTCCATCCGGTAGAAATTCGCCAGCAACGCAGGTGTGTGGATATTTTATATTATTATATACTCAAAGTCGTGCCAAAGCATCGCCAGCAGAGGACATGCCACCGTATCATTGCACCGCGGACGATAGTGAGTATAATATTATATATATCAAAAAAATATTCTTATAATCTTACCGCGCATGTGTTTCAAATTTCAAAAGTGATACGAATCGAAAATTAAAAAGTAAGATTTTTATCAGAGGATTGTTTATGCAACGCTGTTATCGTGTCGATAAGAGTGATAACTTAAAATTGAAACACATGTGAAGTGATGAGAGCCAAACGAATTTTTTTTTATCAAAAAATATACACCCATAAAAAAAACTTGCCGGATTGTCCACATAAGAACATAATATTGAAGATATAATTTTAATTTTGTGTCTCCTAAGTCCGACAACATGAATCAAAATTTCTTATACCCTTTTGGTTCTCACCACTAATTCATATTATTATAGAATATCGGCGGCATAGTGCACAGGTGTCAGATAGATAAACAAAACTAGTTATAAGATTTGTAAATAATGGTTGAACATTTTTAAGTTTTCAAAAACTGTTGCAATTTACTTGTACTTTCATGAACGTATCTTTCAATATTTGTACACCGTACATATTATAACTTAATTTATTTTTAAAAATATGCACTTATCACACTTGTGCACTTTAAGCTATACATATATATTATTATAAGTTAAGTATACGTGAGGGGCCGATATACCCGGGGCGGGTCTTACAATTTAATAACGCCTATGATATAATAATAGACCTTGAAACGTTAAGCGGATTTGTATACACTATACATTGTATATGACCATAGGGTATATAAGTTATATAAAAGCGCGCTTGTGTGTATTTGTGAGTGTTTGCTTAACCAGTCTTGAAGTAAAATAATTTTGTTTTTTTTTATTTGTAGTATAACTATTCGAACAATAGGCGTTTTATACTGTTTGGTGGTCTAAGACCTAAGCTCATGCGGTAGTTTATCATACGCTTTTTAATATATACAACTAAACTGATTGTGGCTGTTAGAGATAGATACAAGTCATGTATTTCAGCGGGACCTATAATTATTACGATTTATAGATACTTCCCGGGGCGATGGTCAAACATTATTTATAATTAATTTCAATTTGAAAAGAACAATAATGAAACGCTGGGCTGGACCAAGTAGTAATGCCTTTATAGTACTTATAAAGCATGTATAATATAATTCATTTATAGGTATCTATATTCGCTTTTGATCGGCCAATGTGCGGGGCGCAGTTACTTCCTTTATAGTATTTTATTAATATATGAAACTAGGACTCTCATTATAATGTTAGACGCTATAGTTATTATTATATTAAATTTTAAGTATATACATTAAATGCTGTTAAAGTTTCAAAATATCCGTACGCTAATTGTTATAAACGAGACAATGCTTACATTGTGAGTTTTCATGTTTACAAACTTTCTATATAATGTGGTGGGGGGGGGGGAGGGCGGGATAACTTGGGTAGGCTGTTCGACGGACCCGGTGAAGTTTTCGTCGTACAATATTTGTGAACCGACACTGAGTATTATGGCGGGGTATACTATATACTTAGTATATTATTAAAGTTTTATCCACTGACGGTTGAACTTTTTACACGTAATCCCAGTTTAATGATGATGACCTCGGGCCGTAGATTGCGATTTCTACACCGTTGAGCGCTTATACAGATCAGTAATGAAGCTCCAAAATAAAGCCCAGTCATTTCAATCGCACATTAGGTACATGCGATAATTGTCCGAGTGAAAATTAATTAGGATACATATGCATATATACACAACTCACAATGTAATCATGTTATGTGTAATACTTGTGATTTTAAAAATAAATATATTTTTTGAATAAATGCGATACATAGAAATTCATTTTCCTAGTAGATTTTCCTATAAACAGCAGCTTTTGTTAGTTATACTTTTTTTTTACAGTTATACTGTGTATATATATATATATATATATATGTATATACAAATGCTTAGGTATATGGGACGTGTACAGGTGGTTTGTGCCGAATTTTACGACTGCCAAAGTATAAAAGTCCACGGTATGGACATACAATACTATTCTTCTAGTTATATATACTCTTTAGCTAAAAGCACACTTTGTACCAAAAGTATTTATACCCGAACTTGTGTATATTTCTATATATATAATTTTTTTTTTCATATAGCGAGTTCCTTTTAGATCTCTTTGTGGGTTCTTACATGTTTGGTTTTTTTTTTTGTTAAAAATTTATTAAAATAGATACTGACACCTACTGCAAGGAACAAATATGTGAAAAGCGTATACCTACTATTACACAAATTATGTGTGTACATTTTATATACTGTATAGCTGCTCCTCGTATGTGTACAAAACTTCTATTAGATTTCCAAAAATATGTATACTGTATAGGTAATATAAATGTCTTTATATAGGTTTCTCCCATATATTTACTATTTCGAGCACCTCACCTTATTATACCAGCTTAAATAGTATTTACTATTTTCATACTTAGACAAATAGACAAAGTCTAAATCAATTAAAAATAATATACCTATATTTACTATAGCGGCTTCCTGTATTTAACTATAGCGCCTACCTGCAAGTTTACATGTATAATAATTGTCGTGCATAATGCCTTCTTCATAGTGTTTCATTACTATAATGCTAAACGTTCTCCTTATGTTTTATGACTATATATGTAATGTAAGTGTAGTATATTATATAATATATTATGGTACTCACTATAAAATTATATTCCATGTTAAATGTGACGTTGTTACCCATTACCGGTGTATTAATTAAACACTGGAAATGAGCACGAAGATGCCTGTATAAGTTCTAATGGTTTTGATCCCCTTCCTTAAACATTGCACAAGAACATATTATTAATTGTATACGATATATTACATATTATACAATACATATAAATTAACGTCTTGTTCACATGCCTTAAAAACACAATGCAGACTCTTCAGAAACAATATCGCTATGGCTTATAGTTAGAATTCCTTTTAATTATAATATGCGGTTCTCAAAACCTATGTTATTTATTCTAATTTATTTAATTATTCTTCCAAGCCTGTACACTTTTTGTTTGTTTTTGTATAGGTAGTCTATATAGTTTAAACTGATCTTATATGTTCCATATAGCGCCTCTATTTTTTTGTCTGCATAACTTGCTTCTAAAGTTTTTAAAAATACGTTTTTTTACGTTTTTAGCATATACTTCAAAAAGGTGTTGTTTAAAATAATAATTTTTCAATTGTTTTCTGCAGAATTCAGAACGTATTTAAAATTATAAAAGGACGTTAGGTATGCTAGGTGTTTTTTTTGTAAGGGGTTCGGTATAGGCATTTTTTTGACAAATATTAATATAACGCTATTATTATTTAATATTTTTTTAACTATAAATCTATTGTGTCCCCATAATTTAAGCTAGACCAACTATGTATTTTTTTTTAGTGAATCTGCTTAACAATTATACAGTCAAGTATTTAGATTGAAGTTTAATCGTATATATAGTATATATCGTAATTTGTTATAATTTTCTTAGTCTTAGTCCATACAGCAAAAAAATATCAATCGATTCATAACGTTGACAATATTTTGGCAGCAGATTAATTAACGTTTAAAAACAAACAATATTTTGTTCAATATTATTGTTTTGTTTTCAAACATTTAATTAATCTGCTGCCAAAACAGTGTTGTTCACATTTTTTTTTTTAAGTAGGTATACATGAAATATAAGTGAAAAACATTGGAAATATTTTTTCAATCATATTTTAATATTTTCTGACAAAACATGTTTTTGTAATATCTTAAAGATATGTACAAACTTTTTGACAACATTGCAATTTTTCGCTGTACGGGATAAAAGTTTTAACAATAATGTATAGACAGAAAATAAAAAATATTGAGTCTGGCGAGTTGTTGTTGTCAGCTTTTTTTTTTTCCGTAATGTTTTGTTGTTTTTTTTTTGCGTCAAGTGCCAGCGACGACAGAGCGTCGACGATGCACCTGACTTGTCGACGTTCGCCTGTCGCTGTGCGGTAAAACTCGCGACGCGGCGCCGCGCCGAATCGATAATAAAACAATAATAATAATAGGAAGAAGAACAGCGGCGTTCGCGCGCAAGTCGCCCACCAGAGCTGTGCGCCGGCCATTTTACGGCGGTCACCGCCAATGGTCGGCGCCGGTGGGCGGAGCTCCGGCCGTCGGCCAGGCGGTGACGACGGCCACGGCCGCGCGAGTCCACACGGCAGTACAGTGTCTAGTGCGGTGTCGCCGGGACGCGCGTCCGTGCACGATATTCGACGGCATAACAATAATTATTTACATTTTTATTTTCTAAAAAAAAAAAAACAAATCGCACTCACATACACATGCAAGCACGCGATCTCGTGTTATAACAACACGATATAAATTAATATGTTTTTTATCCGCACTGCGCATGATAATTATAACAAAATATACCGGCGGATTGTGTTAAAATAAACGCAACAACAACAACGAGACGGCTCGGCGGCCGGCTGTTCTCGCGGGCCCCGTCGACTCGTTTTCGTCGTTCCAACAACACAATATAGCGTACTATTTTTAATGAAGCCAATAATTATTCACTGCTCTGTTTGTTGTCGTAATATAATTTATTATATACCGTTGTGTTAAAAAAAAAAAATCTAGTTTGCACGCGGTCCAAGTTCGTTGCGGACGCCGATTGTTTTATGGTTGAACGAGCACCCACCGTGAGTTCGACCACGTCAAACGCGTGGGCGCCGGGACACGCGTGGTCCCAGTACTGCAGCCCGTCCCCCGGTGCCACCACCCTGGCCACCCTGATGCCGTCCGCCCTGCACAGGGGCCCCCTCCGGATATCACCGGTCAAGACCGAACCGTACGACATGTCGGCCGACATACCGTCAATAAGTAAGTCCAATATCATATTATTTACTACTATCAGCCATCCGCAGCTACTTGATACTAAACCTGTCGAGACTTATGAGAGGATTATTCCCACCTCCCCAATAAAATATTTATGTGCCATCAATTTGTCTTAATAGACTAGGTATATATTTAAATGGAAAACGCTGACTATTCTAATATTCACCTGTTATTAAATTAAAAATGCATATAGGTCCACAAAAAGATTTATAATATTAAATTGTTATTTTTAAGACTAAAATAATAATTTAAATTGGAGAATGTATTATACTTTTAAATTATCACCAATATATGAGAAGATATAAACACAGGTATACCTATTAATATTATATGATCCTTCCAAATAGAATTCATTTTAAACATATTTTTCTTTACGTTATACCTTTTTTTTTTTTTTAACTATTTTTTTTAAAGCAAACAATCTGTAATATAATTTACCATAAGCATGTATGCGGAAGTAAGATCTAATTGGCATGAAACATGTGAGGGAAGTAACCACCCAATGGCGACACTTACATAAGGCTTTGGTTAATTATGATTTAATTGTGATTTAAGTCACGACTCCATCTTCTCTTTAACCTACGAGGAGGATTACAAGTGATAGCGTCGGAATTTAGCTCTGAAATTAAGGGATTTGGATGGTTTGTTAGTCGTGAGTGGAATCGTTTGACGTTATACCTAATCTTTATTTACCGTTTTAACATTTGTTACATAATGCGACGTCAACAGTCATATTTGTATCTCTTTGTTATCAATATGTAATGGTAATCTTAATCGTTAAAATACACTTGGACTACAACGTTTGTTACAGTCAAAAATAAATTGTTCAATCATTTAAAGAATAAGATAGTATATTATTGTTGCATACTTAATGGTTTAACCAGTTATCATGCCAAATTATGACTAAACATTAAATTGTTATAATCAAAATTATAATATATGAATTTGTTCATGCATTTATCATTTTATCATTACCCGATGATCAAGTCACGCTTTAATTTTGATATTAGGTATATAATTATGGTTACAGACACACAGGATTTAATTTTAATTAATACACTGTAAAATATTAATTAAATTAGAAATAAAACAGTGTTAATTAAATTTATGAATTAATAAAATAATTTGGTAATTTCACAGCATAACCATTATAAATTAACTACATATTATGACAAATTATAAAAAACTAATTGAGGGCTGAGAATTTCTTTGAGTTAATAATTTTGTTTTGTATTTTATTGATACCTATACATTTAGTCATCAGTTAATAATTAATAGCTTTTATACTTAAACATTTAATTTTCCCTAAACTATTACCTAACTCATAAACTATAGTAGGATAATCTACATAATATTCAATATTTTTTATAACATAATATTATGTTCAAAATATGAATATGAAGTTCATATTCTTTATAATTTTTTTTAAGTCGTTAAATAACAAAAATTCTTTTAATTAATGCTTATAATAAATAAAATTATATGCCCTAATATAAAAAATTGTATAGATTAATTATAATAATTAACTTAAGATATTCTATAAGCCTTAAATCATATGTCCATATATTTATAAATAGTAGTATGATTAAAAAAATAGTAATATTTCTGTATTAAATATATTTTCTATTCAATTTTAACTGGGTCCTTGACATAACCTACCTTCAAAAACTTTAAACTGAGTTGAAAACTTTAATTAATTCTAGTAATGTTTGCATGAAAAGTGCGTGCAGTTAGTTAATTTCATTATGAAAAAAAAAATCTCAACAAAGAAATATATAGTATCTTAAAGCTGTATTTATTTTTAAGTAGGAGTTTTATGACTTAACAACTTTTAATTTGTTTTACGGTTAGTGACCGGCTTTTAAATGTTTCAAAGAAATAATAAAATAAGTTTGAAGTAAGATAATATGCAAGATATGTTGGCTTAAATGTAATAAATTATTAAGTTCAATTAATCTGCAACAAATACTGTTACCTTTTGAAGAGAATGCTTGCATTTCATAACGCAATAACGTTTTTAACTTTGAGTATGATTTTTATTTTTTAATTATTTTTATTGTTATAACGGTGTATGACTTAAACGGGTCGTCACGGTAAAAATAATGTAATGAGTAGATAACATACAATTTAAAAAAAAATAGATTTATATATAGTTAGGAAAAACGACACGATAATATAATACAATATGCAATGTTATCATTTCTATAGAATAGCGTTTTTGTATCTTTTCTCGATAAACGTTTTTAACGTCTTAAAACTATTGTACTTCTTTCAATAAGCTACGCAGCAATTCCAAAGTATTATCTAAATGTTTTGTCGAGGTTTGATGGAAACTATTTTGTAAGCAGAACACTACTGAGACATACTGAATATAATTTACGTACGGTTTTTGAATTAATAATCATCATAAAATACTTTGCTTCAAAATATTTTGTACCTAATATTAATATTTAACTTGTTAGTTCTCGACAATGGACGGTGTTTAGGTATTATAAAAATAATTCTCAAATTGTGGCGTTTATAATTTTTTAATGAAATATTATTAAAGTATCTAGTATATAGATGATATTGCTCAATTTTCATAGATTATAATTGAATTTTAATCATGCAATAAAAAATTTATATTATTACACTAACTGCACTTATGTACTAGGTATAAAAGACTAACTACAAGTATCGCATACCTAAGTGAACAAAAAAACGGGTGTGTCAAATAATAACCCGACGAGTTAGTACATATAGACACTAATTAGTAGAATTAAATCTTCAAAGAAATGTTAAAGGCCAAATTAATCTTCTCACGTTTCTAATTAACGATGTGCCCTTTGTACAAGTATATTTTATATATTTCTTTTTTACTTGAGTTCATGAAATGTGTATTAACCTTTAAAGATAATTGAAGTATGATTGTAGAATTATATGTATTTTGCATAACTACTCAAATTTATTTGCCAGACAAATCAGTTAAATTATGTTAAATAATTTTGAAATTTAAATTTAACTGTCTTTAGTTGTCGTTTAACACGTTTAATTTTGCAATTAAACTCGTTGTATGATATTTTAAACATAAAATTGTTTTCAATATACTTACCAATTTTAAAACAGGGTTTATAAAATTCTACTTTAAGCTCTATAGACTCGTTTACAATGCAATTTGAAAACTAAATTACTGCATTTGGTAAGAAATTTGTTTCTTTTTATCATACCTCGACAACATAGAATTATTAGGTATAGACAATTTTTAAAATAAATTTACAGTGAAATGCTTGTTTTCCTTTAATTAGCATATAATTTAAAATAATATAACAATTATTTAAAAAAAATTGTTTTACATAATATAAGCAATTCGCGAAACAGTGGTGCAAATAATTTATATTGCCGTTACTTCTATTTAATAATAATAATTTAAAACAATTGCGTGCTAATAATATATTTTAAAGCTAAAAAAAAGATATACCTAACATACAATCTCGTGATGTTGAACAATATCTCAAATTTATGGGTTGCTTTGCGTTTTAATGTTAATGATATACACGGCGTGGCCATAATAAAGTTTTCAGCTAGATGAGAACTTTTTTAGGTATGACCGTTTTTTTCTTTCATTTGGCAGTTTAAAAAAATATTTGACAACAAATCAAAATTCATTGGTTTTATGCGATTTTTATCTGATATCTTGTTTCAACTTTGATAAAAATATTTTCTGTTTTCAGTGTGTTTTGTATTTAATATAAAATTATTTCTGAATATGGTTCCAAATATCAGGAAGTCGACAATATTGTTCACGTGTGTTAAAATTTGAAGGACTGATTCATTTTACTTGAATTTTTTTCTCGAAAAATTTGTGGTACTTATTTACACACTAATCATGTTTTGGCTTTATGAATATATAATATATGTATATATTATGTATCAAAATATGTAATACCTAAGAGTATACAGTCTTTCACAATTATTGAGAAATAAGAAATTCTATTTTTAGGGTTTCTTTAATGGGTTTACTTTTGGCTATTGATATTTTTTTATGACAGTTCATATTTGAATACTCTCACCGTCAATCGCGTGACATCCAGTCATAGGTATGTCGAACGACGATTTCGCAACCGGTAGATACAAATACTATGTGTGGATAAGTTTTTGTGTGTGTTCATACTTTCGATTTTCCAATTCATTATTTCGTCCATTAACCACGGCACATATTGTCGTGTGGTGAATATATACTTTGAGTGTACATAATAGTATTATATGTCTGTAACAACAGAAATGTATCTACATTGTACCTATATATACATATATACAACAGGCAGGTGGCCTTAAGCCCTATGTAATACCTAACGCAACGCTGCACTTAGATTAGCCATACATGTGTGTCGGTTGAGTAAACGCGTCATGGTTTCGGTTCGACACTATGGACTATACCACATATACCTACATTTATATAATAACAATTATCGTTGCCGCCTATTTTTTTTTTTCGTTCTGATTTTTCATTTATTTTGAATTGTGTAATGAGCTAGAAAATGGCCGCCAATACGGGATCCGTACGTGATTTCTTACCTAATAAATAATAATATTATCGACATACACATTGCCCATTAACCGTTCTATTGTGATAATTGAAAATTTGAAATTTGTATTGTATTACATATACCTACAACTTATGCCGACAGGTTTTTTTTCCTATTTATTAAACAACTTTATATGTCGCATATTGTTTTATTACCGGATACACCTTTAACTGCACCAGCAGCTTTATAAATTCGCTTCAATCGCCGCTCGACTGGCAAAATTCCAGCAGCGCAATACGATTATGCACGGTTATTTGAATTGAGATAAATAAATAAGAACGATATGAGACAAAAATGAGATAGAGGAAGAGAAGAAGGTCATGAGTGTCTAACCAGAATACTGCTCTGACGAAAAGCGAGCGCATACGGAATTACCATTTTTACGGTTGACGTGTACTTACCTACCGCGTATACGCGTTA